CTTTGTAACTTGTAAGTTGAAGCCCATGTAATTGTTGGTCAGCCCAAACTAGAAGAAACAATGTCACGTCCTAGGGACGGCAGGAGTTCGCCGGCGGCGAGGAAGGGTAGGGGAGAATCTCAGAGACGAGCAGAGAGAGATGAGAAGCTAGGAGAAGGCAGCGAGAGGAGGAAGAGGAGCCTGTGGCTCAGGATATTTTATTTCAATTCATCGATGCCTATCCACAGTGACACGCCTCGCTTATATACCGCGAGCGACACACGCACACCCACGGCCTACGGCCCACACACTTACAAGGCTCCCGGCCCATCACGCTTACATTCGAATTCAAATGCTCCCGCGAGACTTTACGCTTTCGCCGCGCCTCCTTTACGTCTCCCCTGTCTTGCCTGCACCTTTGCCACTTCCAGAGTACTGACAATACCTCCCCCTGAAGAACCAGCTTGTCCCCAAGCTGGTGCCGCTGGATAGTGATCTTTGAGCACCTGATAGTCTTCCCAAGTAACCGAGGACGCGGGAATTGTGGTCCACTTGACCAAGACCTGAAGATGCGAATCGTTCCCTTTTTTTGACCAGGTGGCGATCCAGGATTTCTTGTGGTTGCACACCAGGCAGCGACAAATCGAGCGGCACTGGTAGTGTAGTGAACACCGGAGTATGATCCGGTACATGAGTTTTAAGCTGGGACACATGGAAAACTGGGTGAACCATACTGCCTCGTGGCAACTCCAGTCTGTATGCCGCGTTTCCAATTTTCTCCAGAATTTTGAAAGGTCCGAAGTATTTGAGAGCCAGTTTTGGACATGGACGATTGACCACGGACGACTGAGCATAAGGTTGCAGGCGCAGATACACTGTTTCTCCCACCACAAACTGACGACCAGACCTTTTTCTGTCAGCAAATTGCTTATACTTGCACTGAGCTCTTGCTAGGTGGTCTTTGAGCAACGCTGTGTGTTCAGTTTGAGAAGCTAACCAAGTCTGAACATCCGGATTCAAGGAAACTGACTGACCTGCTAACTGTCCCACATTCGGATCCTGTCCATATAATGCTTTGTAGGGAGTGCAGCCCAAGGAGGAATGATACGTAGAATTGTACCAAAATTCTGCCTGAGGAAGCCAGGCCGCCCATTTAGCTGGAGAAGCATGAAGTGCACAGCGCGTAAGTACATTTCTAAGCACTGGTTCACACGCTCCGTTTGACCATCCGTCTGTGGGTGATATGTGTAAGTGCATCTAGTGCCACCCCTAGTTGGTTTTGGAGTATTGACGACAAACCTAGTTGAGGGACTAATGTGTTTGTGAGAATTGCAGGATAACACAGGTAGAAGTCCCTCATTGATTCGGTTTAGTTACCAGAGATGACCCCTAAAAATGTACGAAGACATTGAAGATAATGGTGGTTCGTGAAGACATTCATGTCGAAGACAATGACATATGAAGACTCCCCATGAAGCCTTTGAAACTCGAAGACTTAGATCCTTCGTAGTTTTACTTTATTCATGTTGTGTCATAGGAACCACCGTACTGTTAAGTGGGGTCCAAGAGAACCAGTCAGGATGACTGATGTGATGCCTAATTCAAATCCTATGTCTTCGAGTGAAGACAATGAGAGAAAATCTTGTCCAGAGTCAGACAAGTCAGCTTTACTTGCAGCCCAAGTAAAGTTGCCGTGACAGTTCAAAATCCGACCGTTAGTACACGTGTCAGTTCCTTAGTGACCCAGGGTCATTTCGGACAAATCAGGTCAGGGTTGCCAAGAGGCTATAAATAGTCCACCCCTACAACCATAAACGGTTGGCTGCTCAGATTTCAGTGCACGGCTTTTGTCGTTTGAGAGCAACCCACCTCGAAGCCTTTGAGAGAAAATCCTTAGTGAGGAGAAAAGCCCTAACCACCCGGAGCCAGAGTAATTGGGCATCACTTAAGTCTTCGTGTCTGAGTGATCTGAAGACTTATTACACTTGAGGACTGTGCATCCTCCAGACGGTTAGGCGTCGCGTTCTGAGCATCGAAGAGGAATTGTGGATTGCCGGTGAACGAAGTCTGTGAAGGTATGGGAGTCTACCTTGAAGACTTACCAGAGTGATTGGGCGGGGTCTGTGTGACCTTAGCTCAAGGAGAAAACGGTGAGGACTGGGTGTCCTGAGCTGCATGTTCAGGACTGGGTGTCCGGGACTGTGTGTCCTTTGGTTTAAATACCTAGCCGCTCCAACCAGACGTACAGTTGTCATAGCAACTGGAACTGGTCCAACATATCATTGTCTTCAACGTGTCACTGGTTTCATCTTCGCCTCCCTTTACTTACCAGTACACATTGTGAAGCTATTGCATGCTTGCTTTATCTTCTGTCTTCACAACTTGACTGTATGATCTGTTTGGCTTCATAACTTCTTCCATCCTGATCCTCATTACACTGAAGCTATTTTTCACTGTGCTTTCACTATATTGTATACTTGACCATGGCTTGTGTTGTGTAATCTACCTTCCGCTGCATAGTGATAGGCTTGTTCACTCTGTTTGTCTTCATAACTTCCACGTTTTGAAGACTTTCATAAAAATCGCCTATTCACCCCCCCCTCTAGTCGATATAACGCACTTTCAATTGGTAACAGAGCAAGGTGCTCCCTTATTTTGTGTGATTCGGTTTAACCACCTGGAGTTTTAGCTATGTCGACTGCAGGGATAATTAAAGTCTCCGCTGCGTGCCCCGTCTTCGATGGAACTGAATATCCCTACTGGAAGAATAAGATGCGCATGCATCTTGAAGCCATTGATGTCGGCCTATGGTATGTCGTCGAAAACGGCGTTCCCAAGGCTGGAGAAGGTGTCACTGCGGCTGATGTCAAGAAGTTCACTCAACTGGACTCCACTGCCAAGAATATTATCTGTGGTCATCTGACCAAGGGACAGTACGGCCGTGTGAGTGCCTTGAAGACATCCAAGCTGGTTTGGGACTGGCTCTCCAAGGTCAATGAAGGCATCTCAACCCAGAGAGATCAGAGAATCAGTGTTCTTCGCAATCTCTTCAACCGCTTCAAGCGAAATGACAATGAGAATGTCCAGCACACATTTGACCGGCTCAATGACATCACAAATGAGCTTCAAGCCCTCGGCGCCACTGAGATCACCAAACATGAAATCGTCAAGACGCTGCTAAGATCACTTGACAGTTCATTTGACATCCTAGCCCTGATGATTCAAGAACGTCCAGACTTCAAGACACTCGATCCGTCTGACATACTTGAGAGGCTCAACACACATGAGTTTCAGCTTTCTGAGAAAAGAGATATCTACGGCCCAAACTATGGGCGAACTTGTGCCTTGAAGGCAAAAGCTGTGTCCTCATCTGAAGAAGAATCTGACAGCAGTTCTGATGATCCTGAAGACATTGGAAGGGAACTTGCAATGCTAGTGAAGAAGTTCCAGAAATTCACCAAGAAGAAAGGCTTCAGAAAGTCTTCACGGTCAAGCTCAAGGAATGATGAAGCCTCTGCGCATGACTACAAGAGGAAAACTTGTCACAAGTGCAAGAAAACTGGACACTTCATCTCTGAGTGTCCACAGTGGGACAATGAGAACAGAAAGAAGAAGAAGAGCAAGGAATATGACTCTGACGATAAGAAGACGAAGAAATACTCAAAGTCTTCGTCCAAGTCTTCCTCAAAGTCTTCATCACACAAGAAGAGTTCATCTGGCAAGGCTCGTGCGTTTGTTGGCAAGGAAATGGATTCAGAGGAGGAGTCCGCTTCTGAGGAGGCAGAGGTGGAGTCTGAGGAGGAGTCTGATTCAGGCATTGCGAGTCTGGCTACAGCCTATGTCGCCAAGTCCATCTTCAACACTGAAGACAATGACTCCATCACCATCACCGATGCAAATGACAAGGACGAATCTACTCCTACCTACTGCTTCATGGCACGTGGTGCCAAGGTAAACTCACGCACTACTCACTATCAAACATCTAGTGACGATGACTCTGATTGTGATTCAAAACCCAGTTACAAAACACTTGCTAAAATTGCAACTGAACAACAAAAGGCCATGGAACATATTCAAAAACTGTTAGACAGAAGCGATGATCTGTTGGGTGCTGAAATGACTCGTTCTGAATCCTTAATTGAAGACATAAAAAATCTTCATGTTAAGTATCAGGAACTCGAAGATCGTCTTGAGACTCTCTCAACTACTCATGAAAAGCTTTCCTATGATTATCTTCAAAAGAAGCAAGATCTTGAGAAGTTGAGAGCGGATCATGAAGATCTTCAAAAGGAAAACGAGTCACTTCGAGCCGAACAGATCAGTTCTGCTCAGGAAGGATTTGAACCACCATGCCTTAAATGCATTGAACGTGATAATGCTATTTCTGTTGCTAAATGTTCCACTGCTACTGCTGTTGCAATATCTTCAACTGTTGAAGTGGTAACTAACCCCTCTGCTAAGGATACCACTACTATTGCTGATGAAAATGCTAGGTTGAAGACATTGCCTGAAACAGGGATGTACAAAAGTCTCAAAGGACATCAGACATTATGTGATGTCCTCAAGAAGCAGATTCTGAACCAAAACCCTAGAAAAGAGGGTG